TTACAGATTTGAACAAATACGCACAAAAACATCAMAATTAGCACAGAAACAGTACTATATAACATTTTAGACACATTCTAGACAGTTTATCAGCTAACAAAAGTTAATTTTGGGGTAAGTTACTCTTAAATTTCCTCTCGAGCTGTTGCACTTATTTTCTCCTTTCATTCTACGTCGTCCTTTTTTTTTTACCTTTAAGCAGTTATGAGGTGAAACATGAAACTGCTACTGTACACATTACTCAGCTGGTTGTTGCTCACTCATTAAAGAGTGAGTTAGTTGATGCCACCTTGCTTAAGGCCCTGTCACACTAGACAACTTATGAACATTTTAAAAACATCTACATTGAAGATGGAAGTGAAAAAAATCAACAAGAAGCTCGTTTTCAGTGTGTACATAATGCAATTCTAACAAATTGATCAAATATATAACATTAATTAGCCATTTAGACATAAAAATGTTTCATAAGCTGTCTAGTGTGACAGGGCCTTTAGCTGGGTTGAGAGGTCGAGCAAGTAAAACCTTTCCTCTGCCTACATCCCCCAGAATGCCGTGCAGTTCTTGATTGAGTTTCGGTGAAATCATCAACTTCTGTTAGATGTATTTTCTAGAGGTGTACCAGAAAAATGATTTGTGATTCAGAATTGCAATTCTTATTCACAAAGATTCAGAATCGATTTAAAATGTCCCAAAATCTATAAATAAATAAAGCAAATCCAATGGCTGTCAGCCTCTATTTTGTAACTTTGTGGGTAGGACTGCAACGATTAATCGACGACTAATCGATTATAAAAATAATCGATGACTAATTTAATAATCGGTTAATCATTTTCTTTTCTTTTTCTTTTTTTGTTCTTTACTTTGTTTTTCTCTCCAAACTGCTTTGACACCTTCCACTGCCACATCTTCCTTTCTGTTCTTGACACACATGCCCAGTAGTGGTAACTGGGGTAGGCCGTGGACGTCACAAGACTGAAGAAACTGGGGGAAAGAGAGATTCAACCAAGCTTGTCTTCGTTAAATGCAAAGATTTGGGCTCATTTATGTTTTTACTGATTGAGTCAGAGTTGGAGCTTCACTGTGTGAAAAGTTTGAAATGAAGATGAAGCACTTTGGAAACACAACAAATGGGCTCACATTTTCAGTTTTAAGTGAAAAATCGATTTTTAATGGAATCATGGTCCCAAAAATCAGAATCAAATCGAATCTTGAGATAGTAAAGGATTTCCTCCCCTGGGGCCTCATGTACAAAGACTTGCGTGGATTTCTTACTGAAACATGGCGTACGGTCAAATCCAGAAAACAGTGTATGCACAAAAAAATCCAGATGTATCAAACTGTGCGTATGTCTGAATCCACTCACATTKCTTTTGTACATCACAATTAACGTGGAACTGGGCGCAGGTRAGACACCTCCCCYGACACGCCCTCATTAACACATGTTAAACAGATGCAAATTACTTCCTGCATGTGTGAAGGACACGTTTGCGTGATCCCTGCACGATCAGAAATTTATTTAACTGCGTCCATGTGGATGTAATACTGTAATTGTTAATCATGTGTGTCTGCTGTGAACAATAATCATTTTCACATCATGAACAGTTTCTCAGAATCACCTCTAAGAGTCGCCAATGGAACCAAAACCACAGAAACGTGCGTACGCCAGTCCTGGAGTTGGCGTGGGGCTGCGCACATTTCCACGTTCAGTTGAGTTTTGATACATCYRGAGTTTTGCGTGGATAATGACGTACGCAAGGTTTTTGTGTGTACGCACCRTTGATACATGAGACCCCTGGTGTTTTCTGTTGATACTGATCATGTGTCTATCRTGATATATATCATTATTGTTTTATCACCCAGCCTTGATTTTCGCAGCAGACCTCAGGTGTTTTCTGTGTATAGTTGGTGAATCAGAGCTGAAGAACCTCTCAGTTGCTTTGATTACCTGTACCAGTTTTCTCTGTCAGTGGGTGTTCCATAATAAACTGTGATGCCACTGGTAAGGATGCTCTTGACAGGTGCTCTGTAGATGTGACATTCTTCACGTCTGAAGAAATACAACCAGTGCTGAAATCTTTTCGCTTTTATTTACTGTCTTTTGAAATTTAAAAGCCAAGGATTGTTAAATGTGGAAATTACATTGGTGAAAAAGAGAAAAWAACTTTTTTTCCTTAAGCTTTAGGGGAAATGAAAATCTTGTGCTTTTGAAAATGCAAGGGAATCAAAACAGAAGTACAAACTACTGGACATTTTCACTGTAATGTCATCAAATAAGCTGAGTTTTTGTTTGTGATAACTAATGAAAATTGGATTTTGCTAACCTTATTTTAGTGGTTCTAGTATGTGACTACTATAATAAGTGTTGTTGAGTTTTAATTCAATCATAAGCCATTTAGTTTTCTTATTCCTAAAATTAAAGTTTAGCTACTTTACTGATTTGTAACACAAAAYCAGAACTCCTCAGAGAGCTTATTTGTTCTGTTTCAAAGTATCCTCTTATTGATTTGTCTCCATCCTCTCTCTAGATGAATGTTGGCGTAGCTCACAGCGAGGTGAACCCCAACACACGGGTGATGAACAGCAGGGGGATCTGGCTCACTTACCTCCTCCTGACCATCGCACTGCACGTCGTCCTGCTCAGCATTCCTTTTTTCTCCGTTCCACTTGTCTGGACCCTCACCAACGTCATCCACAACCTGGTTAGTTCAACTGATCCTGAAATCTGAAGACAAAATATAATTGCTTCTAAAACCATGTTAGGACTTTTTAGATCTTAAAAATGTTGTGAGGTTTTAAAATGAATCTGAGTTTTCAAGAGTATTGTTTTAAATGTTTGTTACACTGCTGTGTTCAGGCTCCTAACCCCATCCATTATCGAAGTAAAAACATTTTAATAGCACGTGYAAAAGCAACTGCTGTTGGCCAAAGTATTGCACACAATACAACAAAAAGTAAAATGATAATACCAGACATAACAATTCGTAAAAGACAAACAAAATAAAAACAATTAAAATATGATGATATAAAACAAAGACATTTAAATGAAACCAAAATGTCAGCTGTCATCATTTGTCAAAATCCAATCAGTACAAATGTTCTTCATCTGTAAGTAGATCWGAGTGTCGTCTGCGTAGGAATTAAAAGAGTTGGTAAAGTCTTTTAAGGAAAAAAAAAGATTATTTTATAGTAATAAAGTATCTCATTGGAATCATAACTGAATTTTTCTGGTCATAATTATCAGCCTTATTGGATTCTTGGGTTTAAGTTAGTTGAAGATGGAGACTAAGAGGAGCACGTTGATGAAAAATAAATTGGGTCCAAAAATAGATGCTTGCTGAACTCCACATGTGAGGGGGGCTAAGGAGGAAACAAACTCTCCAAGGCTTTTACAGAGGACCTCCTGTCAGACAGGTGAGACCTGAACCAGTCTAGTGCAGAGTCTTTGACACCACATTACTCCAGCCGTTCAGCGTGAAAGTAGCATCAGAGATGATTTAAAAAAATTATTTTATTTTTTTTGTCTTATGCTCGGCCCGGTGGGGCTTGGGTCCCCTGGTCCTGTCGGACCTTGGCTTGGGGGTGGGGGTGCGCCCTGGGGGCCCGGGCCTTTGTGTCCATGCCTGGATCTGCTCTGGCGCAGTAGGTACCGGCGGGGCCAGTGAGCTTGTCGCTGCTGGCCCCAGGGGTTACTGTGTGTGGTCCCTGGTGGGGCTCTCCCGGTTCTCTTCTGTGGTCCCCTCGGGGGGTGAAAGGGTGGGGGGGCGGCCCTTCCGGCACGGGTGTCTCTGGGGCTCTGCGCTTGGGGTCCCTCTCTGGGTCTTTGGCACTGGTCTCCCTTATGTCGGCTTCTGGCTTTGCGGGTCGGGTCTGTGGTCCTCCACAGTCACTTTGAAGCATTCCATTGGAGAGATTTTGTATACACATGCATATACAGTACAGTGTATGTGTGTGTATATATATATATAC